AACTTCAGGAGGCAAGCCATTCCATTGATTAATTGTACTCGCTGTCAGGACATTTCTCCTGGATGGATCTCTCTTTGATGAGCTTCCACCCATTACTGCCCTCAGGTACTTTGGATTATAAGCCAACTCCCTCCTCTCTGTGATAGCCCCTCAAGTTCTGGAAGACAGTTTTCATGTCACCCCCCTAGTCCTCTTCATTAGACTAGACATATCTAGTTCCCTAAACTGTTCACCACGTGATTTAGCCTCCAGACCCTCTGTACTATCTCTAGGGTCTCAGCATCCTTCCTGAATTGTGGTGACCAGAACTGTTCATGGTATTCTAAGTGGGGCCTCACTTAAGTGTAAATATAAAGTAGTACTATTGCTTCATGTGATTTTGGAAGCATCCCTCTGTCAATGCAGCCTAGGACAGTATTGGCTTTTTTGACAGCTGCAGCACAATGTGATTCATATTTAAGTGATGGTCCACTAGGAATCTAAATCTCTCTCACAATTGTTACTGTTGGGCTAGGTATCACCTCTTCTATACTATGCATTTGGTTGTTCCTGCCTAAGTGCAAGACCTTATTTTTCTCACTACTGAATTGCATTTTGTTGGCTAGGGCCCACTGCACAAATACATCAAGATCTTTCTGAATCTTGAGTCTGTCTCAGTGGTGGCGAACCTATGGCACGCATGCCAGAGACGGCAGAGCCCTCTCTGTTGGCACACGTGCCATTGCCGCCAGCAGCAAGTCCATCAGGCTGCCATCGCCATCCAGAGCAGGAGCCCCGCCCACCACAAAGGAGGCGAAGCGGCTGACTAGCAAGCTTGAGTAGAGGTGGTAGAGCAGAGGTCACCAACCATTGTCAATTGGTGGACTGGAAGAAAAGGGAGGGGGAAGCATTTTACATGCGTGCATGCACGCACAGGGCCGCGAGCACGCACATGCTGCAAATGGGGCAGGGCTAGTGCCTGCGTGATACTCACTAGCCCTGCCCCGTTCTTGCATGGTGCAGCGCCTTATATCTGCACCCTGTGGTGCAGTGGCAGCCGCTTTTGCACCTGGCAGCACGGTGGCCCATTTTTGTGCCCCCGGTTTTTGCGAGCCAGAGGCAGCACTCAGAGGTGCCTCCATGCTTCCTCCGAGGGCACCAAAATGCTGGTGCAGTCCTGGCACTTTGTGATAAATAAGTGGGTTTTGGGTTGCGGTTTGGGCACTCGGTCTCTAAAAGGTTCGCCATCACTGATCTATCTTCTAAAGTGTTAGCAGTTCTCCCCAGCTTGGTGTTTATCTGCAAATTTGGTGAGTTCCCTTTCTATGCCCTCATCTAGATCATTTGTGATGCTGAAGAGCATTAGACTCAGGACAAGATTTTGAGGTACTTCACTTCATGCTTCCCTCCATGTAGATGGACTTCCACTGAAGATGACATGCTGAGTTTGGTTGGTCATCCAATTGCAAATCCATCTGGTGGTGATAATGTTTGTCCCACATTGTTCTGTCTTATTAAGGGTAGGCTGTGGTCTACTTTGGCAGATGTCTTATCAGATGCCTAAGAAAACTGTGCCCATAGCATTTCACTTATCAACTAATTTAGTCACTTTGTCAAAGAAGGCAATACGGTTTGTCTGGCATGATCTGTTTTAGCGAAGCCACCCTGGGTTCTAGTAACTGCCTTGCTCATTACTAGATGCTCACAAATCCACTGCTTGATTATCTTTTCCAAGATTTTCCCAGGTATTGATGTCAATTACGTATAAGCTGGGTTGACAAGATCAGAAATGAGGAGGTATAAGCCGCCTGGGAAAGCCAAGGGAAATCATCAAAACAATTAAAAAACGATAATTAGAATATTTCGGACATGTGATGCAACACCCAGAAAAATACGGCATACTCCATTTAATCCTCCAGGGAAAGATTGAAGGCAAACGAGGTCCAGGCAGAAGAAGAACATTGTGGCTTCAAAATCTAAGGGACTGGTTTGGACAAAACTCAGCAGCACTTTTTTGTGCGGCTGCTGATAAAAACAAGATTGCCAACATGATCGCCAACATCCGATAATGGATATGGCACAAGAAGAAGAAGAATTGATGTCAAGCTAATTGGTCTGTAGTTTCCCAGATCCACTTCTCCACCCCCTTTTAATTTGACAATTGGAACCCCATCAGCTCTTTTCCTCTGGCAATTCCCCCGTGTTCGAGGAGCCCTGAAAGATTTTGTTTAATGGTCCCAAGAGTAAACTGAAACTGAGTCCTTTGTTTATTGGATGTTCTTCCTATTTCTTTCCCCTCAAAATAAAGTATATTAGATACATTCTGAGATAATTTTTGCTTTGAACATGTAAATTTATGTTTCTGGAAATAGTAAGGTGATTTCAAGTAGTGACAACAGTATCTTTAAATAGTAAGGAAGTCATTAAGATTATGTCAGATTATGTCAGAAGTCACATTAGAAAAATAATCCATCTCATAGGCTAGGAAATAGTTTGGAAAAGTTTGTTCTAAAATTTTGGAGAATCAGAAGAACTCAAAATGTGCTCATAAAAAAAATCAAAGGAGAAATTGCCAGGAATGTACCAAATTATTCAAAATACTTGCAGGGGCCCATTATGGGTCCTCCAGGAGTATTTTAATTATGAAGGGCTGCCATTAGCTTCCAGACCCTCTCAGCATGGATGGAAAGGGTTAGTCAATGTGGAATGCACTGAAGGGAGATTATTTTATATTCAGAGGAATCGAGAGAGCTTTGGCACTGGCGAGAAGAAAACCGAAACTGATCAACTTTTAATGTGACTGCAGTGAACATTGCAAACATGTTTGAGTTAGCCCAGCATGTTGAGAGAGAAGATGCTGTGCTCATTCTGTATCGAGGGTTGAGAAGCACATTTTTTCTTTTGCTGTAAGTGGAGAGTTATGTCAGAGCTGTTTTTCCCTTTTGGTTTTTTCCTTGGGAATCTTGCTCGAAATTGAGCTCGCTGGCGTAATCTTACCACGGCCTTGTTGACTTTGGTGTTTGGAATGGAGCAGGTCAACTCAACTATGAAAGGCTAATGCTGCCGGTGATGCCGTCTCCTGCTGCTGCTTCCGTTGGCAGTAGAAACACCGGTCTTTCCTGGCATTTCTGATGTTCTGGTCCCAGAGGTTTCTAGCAGTCTTATTGTGTCAGATGTGTTCTATTCTGCTGGAAAAAAATAGCACTGATTAACACCTGAGCTGTGCACAAGAGACTGTTATAGGAATATTAACAACTATGCACTGGCTCAGAGAACTGCTTTGCTTCTGCTGCAGACTAGCTTGTTAAAAAGCCTTTGGGAGTGTCAAGTAACTTGGGGATTAACAGTCAAGTATAGAAACTACTTGTACCCAGATCCAGGCCAGGTTTGCAGAAATGAGTTGTTGTCCCCTCTTAAGGAGTCTGCCTTTTTTGAATTTGTGAATGTTCATCACCAACTTTTTCCTTGCAAGTAAGCAGCCCGGAAGTGTCTGTAAGTATAAACTTTAACCCAGAGAATACATGGTCCTCACACTGGTCATTGCATCATGTAAGGAGGGGAAATGTACCCATGAAAATTGGTCTGTTATTTGAACTAGTGTGTGATAGTAGTTATCCCGAGAGCATTTGGCAAAGGAGCCAAAATGAATGCTTCAAAGCCCAGACGTTGCTGATAAGACATCTTTCCATTCTGAACTCTGTAGGTGCACCTACTTTAGAACAGATGTTGAGCAAACAGTAACAGTTTTAGAGCGCCTATAACACAAATTCAAACCTTTCTCCTAATGAGAGCATTGAGCACAGGAAGATCTGATACGAAGCTGTAAAAATGTTCTGATACGCTGCCCCCTCCACTGGATTGCCCAACAGTGCTTAAAGCAGCATCTGTTCTACATTAGCAACTCTAGCCCCCTGGTGGAAATGGCTTAGGATATCTGATATGTTCCCCAAGTAGCATAGCTGGTGGTTTGTCAACAGAAAGAAATGGAAAGGAATTCAATTGTATGAAACGAACATTTTAAAATCATGTTTATAAATGGCTGACAAGAAAAGCTGTGGCCTCTGATTGGGTTTGCCCTGATTTCATTATTATAGTGATTAAATCTAACCAGTATAAAGAATTATTGCTGCGTACATGATTATTCTGATATATGGGGAAATTTGGCTGTTAGCCTTTCTTACCCTTTTTTCCCTGTTTAAAATGTATTTCGGGTCTTCTTGGTTATGTGATTTTAACCAACCAGATAGGTTTCTCTTCCCTTATGTCTCTATTCAGACCTATCCCTCAGTTCTTAGGCTCTTGTCAAAACCCCTTTTCATAATCCACCCAAATCCAGGACTTCTTAAAAACAAATGTTGTACCTTATGCAAATATGCAGACATGCATTCCACAATGGAAATGCAGGCTACCACTTGTTCTGGGTTTTACCCTTTTTTCATTCCCCAGTAAACACATAAATGTACCCTATGATCCAAGCCACTGGAATACTTCTCACCTTGATTCATTGATATCATTCATTTATCCAACTCTTAACGGAGTCAAAGAGGTCTCATACGCCTTTGGATTTGAAATAATACTAGAAAGAGCAGATCTTTTGAATGCAGCATTGTCAGAGTTGGTTTCCAGGTTTTCGATATTTGTCCAACATTTCTACTAGGTATCAAAGCAATAGATAGGTGACTTAAATTGTTAGGTTGTTTAGAGTTCCCATGTGAATGTAGAAATGAAATAATTTAGATGATTGGTGCAAAATCCTTCATACACAGTTTAAGTCAACGCTTCTGTCTTCGTGCACTGGGTGAATGCTTTAAAATGTCAGCTTACATAATGAGAAATATCACATCATTATAAATTAGACCTCACGATTCTCATGGTGATGCCCCAAGCAAACTGGTCCTACTTGGCAAGAAGCTTTGACGTTCTTTTCTAAAACATATATTGTGTGTTTTGTTGTGATACTTGACACTTCTTGAGATCTCCAAGAAGAGAGATAGAACAACTGTTTTGTTTTTGTTTTCAAGTAATGACCCGAAGACAGAGGGAAGCCAAGAGTAAGCTTGCCAGCTGCAAAAAAGCCTCACAATCTGTAGACATTGACAAGTAAGTAGGTATGCTCTGTATAGTCCATTTTGACAATTTTCAATTGGAGCCCTGGTAGATATTTCTGTTACATAAAACTCTGAAGCTTTGATAGAATCATTCATCATTCTGTGTCCAAGAAGCATCTTGTAGTAGGAAAGACCACCTCAGTCTTACCTATTTTTTACCTTTCCTTCTAGTTGGGCTTGCCTAGGTTTTACATTCTTTTTAGAACACCTAATTCAGCATTGTCTACCCACAGCAGAGCTTCTCAATCTCATCCACTTTAAAATGTATAGACCAATGGTTCTCAACCTGTGGGTCGGGACCCCATTTGGGGTCGAATGACCATTTCACGGGGGTCGCCAAACAACGCAGTCCCCCATTTTTCCCCCCTTTTCCTTAGCTGTGTTACTCCCTTTTATTCTATTGGATTTTGAAAGCCAATAGAATAGACTCTCTTGAATAGAGTCTAATTCTATTGGCTTTCAAAAGCCAATAGGAATTGTCCAGGCTATCTCTGCCCTGCTGAGCCCGCCAAAAATCCCATTCTGCAAACGGTGCTGCACCAGTTGAGTAGTCCTCGACTTACGACCGGTTGAGTAGTCCTCAACTTACGACCAGTTGGGGGTCGCAGCATTAAAAAGGTTGAGAACCACTGGTATAGACCAATCCATGCTGGCTGAGGAATTCTGGGAATTAAAATCCACACATCTTAAAGTGGATGAGATTGAGAAACACTCACCTAGGGAATGTTGATGTGCTGCTAGTTAAACACATTCATTGCCGTCTCCCCTTTTAATTGCATTATTAAACCCATAATGTGATTGAAACAATACTTATAAAACTCTATTCACAATGGCAAAGGTGGATTCCCAGCTTTAATAATCTAGCTCTGGAATCTGCCGGGACTGTCATGTAAATGTAGCAATATTCCTTGTACCGATTGTGTCTGCATAATTCAGACTGTAGAGATATAATAAGATAAAGATAAAGATAAGAAATAGAACTAGTATTCAAGCACAAATGCCAGTTTGGCCATTACGATACCATATTTCATGTGAGTTTGAGTGTCTTTAAGCCTCTGCTTGCCATTCCACATTGTAACAAATGTACCCGTTGTCGTCTCACAGCTGTTTTCAGTGTTGGAGGAAATTATATATTCCTGCAGTGAGGGTGTTTCAGCATGGTGGAAACATGCAAGTCCCCTGAGCATTAAAAATAATAATAAAGGGAGATCTTAAAACTGTGGTTAGCAAGCTAAACAGAGACCACAAGCAAATTCCTGTAGCACTACTGTTCTTAAAGGTATTTTTGGTCCTGGGACAAAATCACACAATTTGTTTTGGTCTTGCACAGGCAATAAATATCAAGGCAATTTGCAAAGTTCTGCAAAGCAGCCAAACTGTCAGCCATAGGAAGTCACCTTAAACCGTGCTCTAAGAGCAGCGTAGGTGGGAAAAGTAGATTAATTGGTGTGCATATCTACATGTTTCTATCAGAACAAAGCTATGATAGAGAAGATTAGCAGGTCTGGTGCCTTACCTGTGGTTACACTGTTAATGAAATTAAGGAATTCAAATGAAACTGGTTTTGTTTAATCTTCTTATTGCTGTCCTCCCCCCCACCTGTTCACCCACAAAGAGTTTGTCAGTAAAAATCCTGCCTGAAAATAATGTTGCTGCTACAAACACTGGATGGCAACATAACTAATAGAATTAGGCTAATTATAGAGAGGACAGCTTCTGTTTAGGCACATTATCTTGGTAATCAGCAGGGACTGGAAAGAAAATATGGAAAAGTACTGCGGGATTTAGCATCAAGGAGGCTCCTCAGACACATTCCAGATATCATTGTGCAGCAAATTTCACTGGATTTTTCTAGTTCCAGATCATCAATTAAGCAGCCACCTCCAATTCCATTTCTGCCCTCCTGTGCCAAGACCGGGGGGGGGGGGGCAGATTGGCTTCTTGGATATGGTTAGATTGTTTAGCAGGGGAATTATGGGACACAGTTGAGTTAGTTGGAGTGATCGGAGAGTTGGTAGAGGCTGGTGTTTTACCATATTCTTGAGCTCCAAATGCTCAATGCTTCCTTGTCAGTACCGCATGCTTTAAAAGGGAAATTGTGCCCTGGCAGATTTATTAGTTAGATGACTTCATTTAGACTGAGAAAAACATGTCTCTGACTTAATACACTTGATTTGCTTTTGGGGGCACAAAATAACTCCAATTTTGCAAAAGCAGATACTTCATTCAACTGAGTTGACAGGTTCTGAAAGGAAATCAGTATTGTTTGAGATAGCTAGAGGAGCTGATTTCATTATATCCCATTGCTGCAGTAGCAGCACCCAAGAAAGCAGTTGGAAGAAAACTGCTAATCATTCTGTCCTTTTTGACTAGGCAACAGTACAGTACAGTATCGGTCAGATCACTGTGCAGATCCTGCTCCATTGACAAGTCTTACCTACAGAACAGCTAGAAGCAGCAAAAATGAAAAAGAATGAATTCTAATACAATTCTTTCCTTCCTTATTTGGCAGGCATGAGAAGTGTTATCTTTGTAAATCTCTAGTGCTCAGGAAAGAGTATCAGAGCCATGTTGATGGTTGTCTTTGTAGCCGGAATGTTGATGGAACCCAGAGTCATAAGAGGCTGCGGCATACAAAAGTAAGGATCTGTATTCTTAGTTCACACTTGCATGGATAGACCAGCAAGTCTACTCTTGTCTTTGTTTATATCCTTTTCTGAAGAGAGATTGGGTCTGTCTGATTCTCCAACCCCATAAATAAGCTTGGCTGCATTGAAAAAAAAAATACACTCTGGCTGTTTGACTTGATTTTAAATGATGGGATTACATCTCAACTAGAATATCAGTCCACAGCCCTCTAGATGTTGGTTGATTCCATATTCCATCAATTCCATTCATCATGATCAGTGTTCAGAAGGAAGGCAAGGATAGGGGAAAAAGTTAACCAACAGACTGAATGAGGAAGGTAATCCTCCCAGAATTGTAACCTTTGCCATACCAAGGAATGGCCTTTGATTCACAAACAGTATGTCTTCAGAAACTGCAACATTCACAAGAATACTGATAATGAGCATGTTTACAATGCTTCCCATTCAATGTCGGATGCAGTGTCAAACTCTTAGAATAACAGTCAACTTGTTTGGAATTTATACTTTTCAAAGCTAAATGTTCTGCATTACGAAGTATTCTCTTTCTGGATACAGGGACTCCCAGATTCCTGAATACTCCTTATTGGTTGTAAAAAAAAAAATTGTCAGTCAAAAGTATATCTACACTTATCTTGAAACTCAGTAAACCTATATAAGAACTTGGTTTACTAGTCAGTGGTAGTCTCTTAATTGCAAGAGACCAGTGGCTCATTGTAACTTGCTAGCTTTAATAAAATATTTGCTGAATCCTCCCCAGTTGTGACTGGAGTTGTGCTCTTAGATGAAGTCTGCATCCACTGTATTGTATTTATGGATATTTTTTTTTTTTTGTACTGGGCTGTAGAGTGGATCTTTTTCCATTTGAATCCTGCCTTTTTTTCCATGAAAGGAAAAATGAAATAGTTATGTGGTTCCTTTTCTTTAATATCATTCAGTATTCTTGAACTAGAAGAACCCTGAACCGCTGTTGGCATCAATAATTTAGCCTTTATTGTTTGCATAGAATATACATGTATTTATTTATAAATACTTTTTAATGTGGTGTTTTAATCAAAGCCATTTTGAAATGTTTATGAAATTAAAGTGTGCAGCTTTTGCTGTTCTTCCCATCTTTGTAGCTATGTTTAATTTCACAATCTGTGCAAAACATGTACTTGCTTCCCCTTCAATTTTCCATTCTTCTCTATCTAAAATGCTGCAGCACAGTATTCTCTCCACCTCTGAGAGATGCATTGCAGCCATAGTGGGGTGTTTTGAGTGAGATGAATAATGAGAAATGTCTGTTTTATTTTAATTATTCCAGCTTCATTCCCCAGGTAGGTCGTTCTTTCTTTTGAGAAACATTTTTGTCTAATACTTGGCTATTCACATGGCCATCCATTGTTTATATGTTCACCCATATTAATCCGTACCTTACAAATCCCGCATTATGAATGTGCTTTCTATTCTACTTGTACAACGATTCGCTTACTATCTCACAATATTATTTTTCTGTTTATGATCCTTTATATTCAACTTCTTGGCAGAGAGAAAAGGACATAATTGGTAAATGCAAATGTTTTTGTAAAGTCTAACAGTATTTCCCTGCTCAGAATTGCTATCTTGAACAAAAATGACCTCTGCCTACAATATTACTGTCACACCAGAGTGCAGAATTGAACCTTACTGGTGGACAACAGGTAGTAAGACAAAGTCTGGGCTAATTCTTTTCCTTCGGTATACTTGGAACTCTTTCCAAACACTATAGTAACTCTTTGTATTTCATCCTATGTCAGGCATACCAGTGCAGTTGATAAGGAAGCAGTAGCAGAGATAATGAATTTGTAGGGAGCCTAATGCATGTACTCTGAGTGAGCCATTAGATCAGTGATGGCAAACCTTTTAGAGACCGAGTGCCCAAACTGCAACCCAAAACCCACTTATTTATCGCAAAGTGCCAGGGCTGCATCAGCATTGTGGTGCCCTCGGGGGGCGGGGCGGGTGTGTGTGGCCCACTGGGGTCAGTGTGGCTGCAGTGGTAATGACAGACTAGGTGAGCGTGGCTGGGGCCAGTCCCTCGCCATCTCCGGGGCATCCCGGGGGGGGGGCAATGCCACTTGCTCGCTCATTTCCTGCCCTGTCGCTTCCAAATGCCACGTGCTCACTATTCTGACGAACTCTGCTGAGGCAACGGCATGTGTGCCCACAGAGAGGGCTTTTAGTGCTGCCTCTGGCACACATGCCAAAGGTTCACCACCACTGCACTAGATGCTACAGAAATAAATGTAAAATAAAAGGCATAAGGACGGGAAGGCAAATATATATATATTTAAAAAGATAGTATAAAAAGGAGGAAGGGAATAGGACTCACTCATGGGAGTGATTGAAGACAGCTGGATTTGGAGACACTGAAAGTCTTAGTGGGTAAGTCAGAGCTGGAAATTACTGCAGAGGAAGGAAAAAACACGTATATCTGATAAAACTACAGTCAGCTTACTTGAAAATAAATTATTTGCAAAAAAAATACCACCCCATATTCAGGGAAAGATGAACCATAGCCAAGAAAGACATATTGTATGTGTAAGTGTACATTTGCCCTATATCTACTGCTTAAAATACGGTGTGTCTGAAGACCTATTCCTATATCGCAGGAGGAGGAATGAAAGAGCATTCAGTTGATCACCATTAGGGGAAAAAATGCAAATAGTTATCTGTGAAACATAGACATCACTGCGTACAGCCGCTGATTCTGAACCATTTGCTAAGCCCTTGCTGGCTATAGCCCTTAGGTTTCAGCTATGTTTCCTTCCGTCAGCTATTGCCAACCTTAATCTAGATCAAGGTGTCAAATTTGTCTAGCCGATTAATTTACGTAATTCATCCATTCAATTCCCACAGGGTTTAACTCCGGGCATGACAGGAGAGAATCATGTCCTGGTCCTCGTCCCCTCTCTAAGTTGTGCATGGTTGCTGCCTTACATGCATTACCCATCTTGTGCAGCAAAGGCCTACATGTAGCCTTTGTGCTGATTTATTTCAGATGGTAAGATTTTAATCCATAGAGCAGTGTGAATGCTAAGGCAATGTGATTTCTCAGCAGGAAGATGCAACATGATGTCTCTGTTTTATGTAATCCCTTAAATCCATCACAGGCCCTGGCCCCTCAGGAATTTATATGCAAATGGCAAGACTGCCTGTTGATGAGTTTAGCTGGGACACAGCCAAACATTCTGCATTTTCTTGCGCAATGGGAAGCTTCTGTTCATGTCACTAGCTTTGGTTCAGAATTCCTTTTAATTTTTTTCTCCACGGAAGAACTTGGCTGATGTTTAAAACAATCACCAGAAATGTTAACGTGACTTTTTGCCACCTAAGGCCTCCCTGTTGCTTTTCAAAATCAACACAAATGATTTCTGCTGCTTCATATATGAGCATTGTAGCTTTTGACCCTAGATGCTCTGAATAGCGAGCATCCTTTTCTTCTTTTTGCTTATCTTGGCCCTGGTCCCTGGGGACAGCTGCAGGGATGTCTGCCCAGAACTCTTTGAAGTATATAATAACAAATGTAAAACAATATTTCCAAAAGGGAACCTTCGGAATTAAGTTTGTTTTAATTCTGTCTGAAAGCTTTATAGCATTTGGAAGGTAATTAAATCAACCAAAAGAACATGCAGTTGATAATGGATGAAACTTGGCTACGCAAAAATGATAATGGAAAAGTTCTGTTCCAAGCCTACATTGGATTCTGAGGCTAGAAAGATATGGTTATAGCTGCTGCCCAAAGCTACACTCCTGCGTCCTCCTTTCCTGCAGAACATCTAACGTGGTGAAATACCTGTATTGTCATCATGCTTAACAATTCTTCCCTCATGATTACTGTGTAGGGAGGACAGAAGAAAGGAGGATTGCCTTTTTGTGACAGGGAACTTTTACCATCTAGTGCCAGCTCCAACAAAAATGTGGCTGTTGGTTTGTTGTTACTCATTTACATAAATATATGTAAGCTTGAGAGTATAGTGGTGAAACATAGGTGGCTTTGTATTTGGGGGGCCCGAAGCCAGCTCACTAGGTCAACATCTACTAAAGTGCAGATATGATAAAATGAAAAAAAAAAAACTTGGTGTAGTGACGAGAAAGCTGGTCTTTGTTCTGGGCAGCCACAAGATGTCCAAAGTTCTGCTTCTGTCTCTAGGTGGTTCTTATGAGATACTTTGTCAAAAGCCTTCTTGTGCAAGACCTAATGGGGACATTCTCTTACTTTCTTCTAGGAGAAGGGAAGGTGTGAAGGCCGGTTACTGAGTATGCTAGAACAATCTGAAAACAAGGCTGCAGGTAGGAAAGTTAGCACCCAGCCAGCATTCTTGTATTGACGCAATCTAGGTTGAGTCACAGGAACAGGCTTGTCCTTAAGCAATACAGCATAGCTCCTGGGCCACTACAAATGGGTAGTCTTTGTGTTTCTTCCCATTGCATGTATATCAGTTCAAAGTTAAACATTTGTATACTGTAACAGGATTTCTCTGGACTTTAATGAAGATGAGAATCACTCCTGGGAGTCTCCGTGAGATAATATTAGGTGATTGTGTGTATTTTACAATAAGACAAGAGAAGCCCTTTGTGCTCCTTTTCCTTGTATCAGATAAAGGTTTGTATTAGAGAAAACTGCAAGTCCAAATAATGCATAAATTGCCCCATATCGCCCACCAAGCTGGAAAGGAGGGTATTGTTTAGAATGTGTTTACTACCAGATGGCTGCAGTTTCTCTGCTTGCCCACTAGAATGAGTCTTGCTGATCTGGAAACAGAGGCCATCATCAACCTGCTGAAGTAATTAAGATTCTGTGGTGTATTATATTCCAGATGCAAAGATGGCTGCTCCACCATCCAGAAAAGAAGACTCGAGGTTAGTTAGTGCTCTTTCTGTACTATAGGCTTTTTCGGTGGTTAAATGGGCTGCAGCAACACTCCTTGTCACTTATTTCCAGTGCTGTTTTTTCAACAAAGTGGAAAAGCTAAATGAAATTAAGAAATCCTGTAGGAAGCTAGTTTTTAGCATTGAAGGCAAAGTCTACTCCTGTTATAATGCAGTTAAACAATGTTTTTTTTTTTCTTAGAACCAAAACCTGAGTTACATTAGACAGGAGATTTCTTTTCTTAAACTTATGGAGGGCATATGGTGAGTGGAAAAATATGTTAATTTGCTGTAAGTTTATTACTCATAAACAAATTAACAACTCCTTATCTCGATCTTTTGCAATCTGTATTCAGGCCTCATTTGGGGACTGAAACTGCTTTGACCGTCAAGATGGGTGGCCTATATTAGGAAGGGTTTCCTTATTAATTCTTCTGAATCTCTCTGCAGTTTTTTTAATACCATCCATTTGACTGGATGGTATTAAAACCAATACTTCTCCTTAACTGCTTGACTTTTAATCTGTGGGTCTGCTCTCTGCTTTAAATACTCCTAAGCTACAGTGGCACATTAGTTTGCATATTATCAATATACTGATAAAGTACAACTTAGTCCAGAAACCTGCTAGATAACTACAAAGTGTTATATGAAACACCTTTCTTTGCTGCCATTTAATAACAATAATTTTTGTGTCTTTTTTACTGTCATATAATGGTTGTCAGGATTTTTGCAGCCTGGATATGGAATGCTTAGCAACATGTACTATGTGAATTGCCTAGACCATTCAGAAACTATAGCTGGTACAGACTGCATTAATCAGATGTGTATATTTGGTATGCTGAAAACTGCATATTATTGTTGGTTTGCATTAGTAACTAGTAGAATATTTTTCCCATATACAAATTGGCATGCTCCTGCATTTACATTGGTAGCCTTCATCTCAATTAGGTCAGTAGAAATCAGTGGATTGATTAAAGCACAAAACAAGACATTCTCATTATGTAAATCTCCCCTGGCAAACTCCATTGACTTTTTACTTATTGGAAGTCAGATGGGCTGTTTCAATTTTTTGTTTGTTTGTTTTATTGTGTTTTAGTTAAACTCCATGATTTTGTATTTTTGCTCAGTTTTTGAAGTCAGGTTTCTCTTATTTTGATGTTATTAAATATGTGATTTAGATAGTTTCAGTTATACATTCCTTTGTGTACTTGTATATTTTTTAAAATTACAATATTAAAAGTGAGAAAGCTATGAAAGAGTTCACTGTGCAGCAGGGAAGCCCGGTTCATTTTTTAAAAATATCCTCTCTGTTAGGCCCAGTTCAACAGAAATGGACAAGGAAACAGAGCGCAACCAGAATTCAGAAAGATTCTTCCCTCAAGGACCCTGCAGTGACTCTCCTATTAGATCATTTACTTCCATTTCTGAAGCCAAAGACTGCCTAGTGGACTTTAAAAAACAGATGATGATTAAGCCACGCACTTGGAAACAGACCAAAGCCAGCCATCGGAAGCAAAAGAAGTGCTGAGGGTGGTATCATGGAGAAGACATCAAAATATGGACTCTACTGAGCCTACTTGGCAGAGACCTCTCAGCTCCCTAATCAGCTCTGCTCCCTACTCATTCTTCTGTTAATTTTTGTATGAATTCTCCCAGAATTTGTCATGTATTGACTAAGCGTGTACTCTACAGGTGCCTATTCAACCTTGCTTTGCAGTTAGACAATAAAATGAAATATATTTATTATGTTTTTATAAACTTCAATTTCTGCTCCTTATGATTTTTTAATACACGTATTTTTAGCTGAAAGACTGCACTGCAACCTAAGTAAACCGTTAAATGGTGGTCACCAATCTGGGACCCTTCTCCCAGAATACTCCAAAAAGACCAAAATCATGCATTTTCATGTTCTATTACTGGGAAGATTTCATTCTCCTATTTAAAAATGTATTTAACTTTGACTAGAGCCTGCACTAATTCCCACAGAACTGAAGGAGTCTGCAGAGTGATGAATAAAAACAGCCAGGCTTATGTGGCCTTCTGTCCTATGGGAGCAGGGATGACATCTTTTAAACTGAAACTGGTAAACATGGAAGACAGGTGTCGGAGGAGAAAGGGCATTAGGTTTTTCTGTTTGATCAGGATAACCCATTTCTGGATTATTTCGCCATGAGGTTATATTGTGATGTGGTGCATGAAGATGGGGAGAAATGGCATGGTGCATGAAAAATCAGACCAGGGATCAGATATGGTCCTAAAGCTGCCTGTGGTAAGCTCTGAGTTATATAACACCCAACATCTACATAAGGCCGTGGTATTAATACTGCAGTGATCCTCAATCTCTTACCCTCGCTCCCTGATCGGCTACGGTTTTAATATTAATTGAAGGCCATATTTGCTGGATACAACACAGAATGTAATTTATTCAGTCCTTCTCCAAAAGTGCTTTGAATGGAAAAATTAGGCCCAAGGGTGCTTAACACAGCTGAAGCTTGCCCCTGGATGTTCTGTTGCTACCTAATGGTTTCATATTCCTACCAAGTACAGTGCATTCTTAAGGCTATTCTGTTTTGATGTGGAGGTTATGCTATTGCCAGAGCTCAAGGGCAGGCCACAGGTAACAGTAATTACACATAAAGCAGAGATCTCTGTCTCTAAATCAGGTTAGAGGCCAGAGAGAACAAAAGGCTGGATGTCATGTTATCTTAATGCAATTTCATTTTATCTACTATGAAAATGCTGGCATTGACACCGACTGCAGAAGAAAGGATTTTTTGCTGGCCTAGAGGTGTGCAGAAAAAGGCATCTGTGTCATAACAACACCTTGGAAATGCAGAAGAGAAAGGAAGGGTCAGAAGAGCTTCCTTATCAGCAGGCCACACAAACAGAAACAATATACAAGTTAGGTTGGTTTTATCTTGGCCTGTTTTATTTTCTCAGTATTTTGAGCGCTAAAGCTACTAAACTAGGAAAGTAAAGTTTCATTTGGAAATATGCATCTCCTGTTATTATTTGTCCTGGGTACTTACTAGCATTCAGGATCACAATTTGTATGCCTTTAAAACAAATTGAATTAAATGAAAAATGTTGCTTGGCTGCACCATTCCAGGTTGTAGATGGGGAGTAGGTTACACATTAAAATGATGGTATGTTCAAATACAAAAACCTCTCATAATGTAGATGGAGGATGGAGGTTTAACCAAATCTTAACATAGTTAAGATATGAATTGAGCAAATAATGCAAAATTCATGCAGGAACCTTTCCCCATAGTCCATGGCAAAGTTTTTCAAACTTTTTCAGGCTGCAGAACTTGTAAAAAAAATTGCTAAACCCCAATCAGTAGGAAACCTCTAGTGACAAAAAATAGTTGTGTTTAAAAGAACTTTCTTTCTTGTCTTTAGTCTCTCACAGGACTTCAATCAAATTCTTCTGGCACCTGGAACATTTTTAAAAATTCTGATCTAAGATAGTGATGGACAACACTGTAATGCCTGGGGGGAGGGCCTGTTTGGTTTAAGAAGATCATGTGGGGACAGTGGTGGGGGAACAGGAAAGATAGAAGCTTTGACATGCTTTTTCCCCTTTTGCCAGGATCAAGACTTTCCTGTCCTTTTGTGAGTTTGTTTTAGGACTTAGTCCTACGTTTATTTGCTCAGAGTGGCAAGAAACCATAGTACTGACCCTCCCTGCTTTCAGGGCTGTGGGCAAGGAAAAACTTCACCTCTTCAATCTGGAGAATGCATTAACAGCTAGTCCTGAGAGGGCAATTCCTTTTACAAGGAACGTCATCTAGTGAGCTCCCTGGAACCTCACTGGTTTGAACTGTGGAGCTTGCTACTTTAACCTGACAAACCTTGGCAATGAAATAAAACACAATTTTAAAAAGAGACTGGATTCTGATACAGGGCACTTAAATTCCAAAGCACTTCTTTCCCAGTTAACATGCCAAATTGAAATGTTGCCAAGATCTTTCCCTGATTTCATCAAAGAAACCATGTGTTCTCAGTGCAACAGCATCTACACACCCTCCTGGTTTCTTCCTTGTTAACTGTCAGTCTGTTGCTGGCATGTCCCTGGAAACAAAGGCTCTTGTTTATCTTTTCAACTGGCGACAAGGCAAGCAAAGAACAAAATAACTTTCTCACAAGCTTGGCCGTCATCAGAGTCTAGGATGAGTTCAAGGAAATGCCACAGGAATATGCATGGCAGACTTGCGAGCCTATCAGCAGCCATCCTCTTTATGCAAGACCAACAGAGTCCCAGGGTCACCTTGGGACAGAGCAGCCTGTCTCTTTCAGAGAATCTACCTCAGAAATTACCATTCTGCACTGTGGCTTGACTGGAGTATTTTATTAAGGGTACTTGAGAGCAGTGAGCAAACAAGGAGAAAGTCTGCTTGTTAGCTGGGTAGTAACTATCCTTCACAAGCATGATTGTCCCTGTTTTTGCAACCATGCTTGTGAAGATTTTGTGAGGCATGCAGGGTGGTGGACAAGGGAAGAAGTTCTGTGTGTGCTGATGCTGCATGTCCTAATGTAAGCTTTCTCTGTTTCCCCAGATATTAGAAATATTTTTTTTAAAATTTTATTATTTTATTTTCATTACAATCATAAGAAAAAAAATTCAGATACATAACAAGTTAAAATACAACACACAAATTCCGACATTGCTCACCCATTTCCCCCCAAACCGCATCCCCCTCTCATCTCTTCACTTCCCCCTTCCTTCTACTTCCTCACTCTCCTCCTCTCCTCCCTCTCTCCTTCATATTAGATATTAGAAATATTGAACATTCTTTAGTAAAATGGCATTCAACTTCAAGCTTTCCAGGTTAGACACAAACACTAAGCTTCTCAGTGTAGATTTGGTCTCAGAAGAGAAGCTTCAGCAATGCAAGCTACCTTTTCATGGCCAGCAAAGGCTGATTGCCTTTTGCTAAGCAGCTGTTGAACTACATTTATTTATTTATGAGACTTATATACCACTTTAAGTGCAAGCACTCTCTAAGCGGTGTACACCAGTAAGCAATGTATATATATATTTACATTGCCCCAACAATCTGGGTCCTCATTTTACCTACCCCGGAAGGATGGAAGGCTGAGTCAACCTTGAGCCGGTGAGATTTGAACCGCTGACCTGCTGAACACAGTCAGCTAAAGTGGCCTGCAGTACTGCACTCTAACTGCTGCGCCACCTCGGCTCTTATTTGGCTGACAATAAGTTTTTGTGAGTAAATCTTGATAATATAGAAATTCCATTTCCCTTTTGTCCACTTGCCCTATGAAATGCATTTTGGGTACATTTGAAGCCAGGAGCCATAAAACCTCCAGCTTTTATAAAGTATAGTACCAAAATAATGTGTGATTTGTGTGCCACTTCATGATTTTGACAAGTAAGTATTAAAATACATAACAATTATTTTCCCCAACTCGGAGCGGTACATACAAAGAATTTTATCTTTGTCTTTGGCTGACCTCAAAATGCTGGGATCAAACAAACATGTTTGAAGTAAACTAATATTTGGATGAGAGACCATGAGGAAATCACAGGGGTGTAGGCAAGACTATGAAGTGGAAATATTTCAGAAGGAGGCAGTGCTAACCAACTTCCATATGATTTCCAAAAAAATATCATATATTCATGTAGTCACCAGAAGCTGAGTTTGATTCAATGAGGCTCTTAAAAAATGACAATAAAGTTTATCCGTCTGTCTGTCAGTCTATCTCTTAGCAATTGTTTTGCAGTTAAACTGAAAAAAAATATTGAACTATCTATATAATAAATTAGATAACAATGTTACTAATGCCATATCCTTTAATGCAGGACTTTTCAACCTTTTCCCCGACTGTACCACTTTTAGGATATGGCAATATTCGAGTACCACCTAGCAAGGTGTCAAAAACTTGATGACCCAAAAAAAAAAAAAAACCCACCTGTTCAAAGTTGCAATTGCACTGAAATGACTTATGACCATTTTTCACATTTATGACCATTGCAGCATGCCCAGGGTCATGTGATTTATATTTGGATGCTTAGCAACTGATTCATATTTATGATAGTCACAGTGTCCCAAGGTCATGTGATCCCCTTTTGCAACTTTTTGACAAGCAAAGTCATTGGCAGGGCTGCTGGTGGCCAAGTGCTAAGGCAGGACTTCCTTCCCTCCCTCCCTGCCTCCCTCTTTCTCATTCCCATCTCCTTCTGAAGGAAGAATTTGAAACCTCCCCCCCCCATATTTTCCCTCTTCCATATATTCATCAAACAAGGAAAAGCCTCCAGAGACAGAAAAGAGAAGCCATTGAGGGAACTAGCTTAAAAAGGTGCATTCCCCTTTGTTGTTGTTGTTCTTTCTGGCGCTACTAGTACTAGCCCTCTGCTCTTCCCCAGTAGCATATTGGACACCTTCCGACCTGAGGGGCTCATCTTCCAGCGTCATATCTTTTTTCCTTTTAGTACTGTCCATGGGGTTTTCATGGCAAAGATACTGGAATGGTTTGCCATTTCCTTCTCCAGTGGATCACATTTTGTCAGAACTCTCTGCTATAACCTGTCCGTCTTGGGTGGCCCTGCACGGCATAGCTTATAGCTTCATTGAGTTACGCAAGCCCCTTCGCCACGACAAGGCAGTAATCCATAAAGGGGGGGGGGGAAATGTAGTAAGTATTAAAATGGCTCCATTCATAAGTAAAGGAATGCTACAGGCAAAATCCATTCAGGAGAAAAATACTTCAAAATTCCTTGCAGCAAAACTTACAGCTAACAA